CAAGGATGAGCACCCAGCAGCACAGAACTCAGCTGGGCATTGACACCAGGGTTTAGCTGCACTGAAATTCATTGAAATCGCTTTATCTGAACAGCAGCTGTCCCCTTTTACGAGCTTACTATGGGTACATTTTCACTGAACTGCAAGAAAAGTATTTATTTATTTATTTATTTATTTATTTATTTCATCTGAATGTATTTTCCTGCAGGAAAAGAAAGTAAGTTATTTATTTATTTATTTCATCTGAATGTATTTTCCTGCAGGAAAAGTTATTTATTTATTTATGTATTTATTTATTTATTTATTTTAAAAGGTAATTATAGAACGTTTCAATCTGAATGTATTTTCCTGTAGGAAAGTTATTTATTTCTTTATAAAAGGTGATTATAAAATATATCATCTGAATGTATGCTCCTGCAGGAAAAGTTATTTATTTCTTTATAAAGGTGATTATAAAATATATCATCTGAATGTATGCTCCCGCAGGAAAAGTTTTTTTATTTAAAAAAAGTAATTATAAAAGATATAATCTGAATGTATGTTCCTGCAGGAAAAGTTATTTATGTATTTTAAATGGTAATTATAGAGCATTTCATCTGAATGCAACTTTCTGTAGGAAAAGGTATTTATTTTTTAAAAAGTAATTATAAAATATATCATCTGAATGTATTTTCCTGCAGGAAAAGTTATTTATTTATTTATTTATTTATTTATTTATTTATTTATTTATTTATTTTAAAAGGTAATTATAGAGCCTTTCATCTGAATGTATGTTCCTGCAGGAAAAGTTATTTATTTCTTTTTAAAAAAATTATTAAATATATAATCCGAAAGCATTTTCCTGCAGGAAAAGTTATTTATTTATTTTAAAAGGTAATTATAGAGCCTTTCATCTGAATGTATGTTCCTGCAGGAAAACTTATTTATTTATTTAAAAAAAATTATTAAATATATAATCTGAATGCATTTTCCTGCAGGAAAAGTTATTTATTTATTTTAAAAGGTAATTATAGAGCATTTCATCTGAATGTATGTTCCTGCAGCAAAAGTTATTTCTTTCTTTAAAAAAGTAATTATAAAATATATCATCTGAATGTATGCTCCTGCAGCAAAAGTTATTTATTTATTTAAAAAGGTAATTATAGAACGTTTCATATGAATGCATTTTCGTGCAGCGGGAGGTAAAGTGAAAACTGCCTTCATTAAATAACAGCGGCTTTGTTTTGAGGGAAAAGGAGCCTGAAAAGAAACATTTGCCAAAGGAATGAATTGCTTTCTGCAGGAACATACTTCCCATGCCTGGGGTCCTGCATGTGAAGCGAAATGATGTGGAAATAACAGTGATAACATTTCCTGGCTCTCTGGCAAAGCGCAGAAACGGGGATGTTTGGGCTGTGCACCTCCTTTGGGGAAGGTTTCAAAAGGGCAAGACAGAAATGCTGTGGGAAGGTTTCTGGTACCTCCAGAGGGTCTCCAGAGCTCTGAGGGCTCTTTTATAGCTCCCTGTAATTATCCATTACAGCAGAGAGCTAACTCAGCCCAGAGCCTGCCAGGGGGTGCCAGAATCAAGGCACGCACCGAGGGCTCAGTTTTCCACACAAATGCTTCCAAATCCCCCATCCCCACAGAATGCTGTGGATTTCCCTGAGGAAATTTCCAGGAATCCCTGGAGCTGGCAGTGCTCAGGTGTCTCATGAGCCACCACCACGGGGCTCCAGCCCTGTTGGAGATTTTTTCAGGGATGGCTTGGAAGGCAGCTGTGAGGAGCAAATTCTCACAGCCAGTTTCTGTAAACAGCAGAAGTTCTCAGGTTGTTTTTAATTACAAGTAAAAGTGACAAACATGAAGGCCTTGAGAACCTTGCATATCAGAGTTCTCAGGCAGCTTTCTCATAACAAGTAGATATTCTATCTTTGGCTGTTTTAGGAAAGCAAAAATAATTTTGAGAACCCAAATCTTGGTATTGGAAACATAAGGAGGAGTTGGTGTGTTATCTCTGACCTATTGTGAGCTCAGATTTTGCAATATGCATGAAGTGAATTAGCACTGTTATAAAAAGTGCCTGATTGATGAATAAACTGGAGTCAGATGCTGATCAAGAAAGATGGGTCTCTCCCTCCATCTTCAACAGGAGAGAATGTTTGCCTGGTGATGAGCACAGCTCCGTGCACGGCCCCTGCCTCAGGAGCTGTGCCCCCACAGCCGGAGGGCAGAGCTTTCCAGGGGCAGAGCTTTCCAAGGGCTGCTCGTGAGCGTGGAGCCCGGAGCATTTCCCACCCCTGTCCCCCTGTCCCAGGCTGCAGGAGCAGCTGCAGGAGGCAGGGGCAGCCAGGAGGAGGGCAGGCAGCTGTCAGCCTGTGAATCAGCCCCCGGAGCTCTGCGCTCCCACCGCAGAACAAAGAGCAGCTGCCTCTGACACTCGCAGCTCCGCTCTGGTCAGGGAGTGGGGTTTGCAATTACAGATCCTGTGTAGGGGAGACTGAACTCAAACAATCCATGGAAAATATTCTCTCCTGCCTCCTTTTCATTGATCGGGTCGCTGTGAAAATAGACCCACTGAGAAAATGGATCCTCTAGGAAAATAAACCCTAATTTTCTGTAAAAGGAGAGCCAAAACCATTCCTGATGGCAGCTGCAGGGGGGGGCATTGCTGGATTTAGAGGAGCTGCCAGGAGTAGAATTGTACCAAAAGGTTTGGTTCTTTTACACAGGGTGATAGGGGAGAAACATCCCAAACTTTAGACTGATTTATTTACAATTAACACAAAAATCCATTTTCACAGAACCCTGGAGCTCTAATTCTTGGGGTTCCAAGGGTGTTTCAGAAGGAAATGGGATTAAATAAGGATGAGAGGGATGTGTGGGATCCCTTGAAGGAGAGAATGTTGAAATGAAGATGAGGGGGAGTGTGTGGGATCTCCTGAAGGAGGGAATGCTGAAATGAGGATGAGGGGTATGGTAGGATCTCCTGAAGGAGGAAAAGTTAAAATGGGGGTCAGAGGGAGTGTGTGGGATCCCTTGAAGGAGAGAATGTTTCTGTGGGGATTAGAGGGATGTGTGGGATCCCTTGAAGGAGGGAATATTGAAATGAGGATTAGAGGCAGTGTGGGAGATCTCTTAAAGGAGGGAATGTTTAACTGGGGATGAGTGGGAGTGTGGGATCTCCTGAGGGAGGGAATGAGGATTAGGAGGAGTGTGTGGAATCCCTTGAAGGAGAGTGTGTTTCAATGGGGATTAGAGGGATGTGTGGGATCCCTTGAAGGAGGGAATGTTTCTGTGGGGATTAGAGGGATGTGTGGGATCCCTTGAAGGAGGGAATGTTTCAGTGGGGATTAGAGGGATGTCTGGCATCCTTTGAAGAGGGAAATGTTGAAATGAGGATGAGGGGGAGTGGTGGGATCCCAGGCTGCTGTAACTGTGTGAGTGGAGCGCTCCCAGCAGAACAGGCTGGCTCCCGGTTCCCTTGTGCGGGATTTGAAGGCAGCGAGCGCTGAGGAAGGAGCAGAGCTCGGCTGGGCAGTGTCTGTGTGCGCCGCAGCACTGAGGGGCGGCATGGGACGGGACGGGAAGGATTCTTGGCCAGGCTGCGAAGCAGCAGAGCCAGCCGTGAGTCACCGCAGCCACCGCAGAGGTTGGGTAAGAAGCGCAGCAGCACAATTGGAGCAGCGCCGTGACCTCAGAGCCGAGCCGTGTATTTAAGATCTGGCTCGCAGATGTTGCGGGAGGCTGGGGCAGCGCAGAGCGGCCGGCTGAGGCACAGAGGACACTGCCAGCCCCGGGATGCTCGCACCGCTGCTGCTCTCTGCCCTGCTCTGCCACCGGGCTGCAGCCTGGGGCCTCGGCAAGGATGGCGTGCTGCACAACTCCATCTGGCTGGGTAAGAAACCTCCCCTTATCGCCCAGCCTGGGCTGCAGCATCGCTGTGTGTGCCCGGCAGGGAAGGAGGGCAGGATGGCGTGCTGCAAACTCCATCGGGCTGGGTAAGAAACCTTCCCCTCATCACCCATCCTGGGGGCAGCATCGCTGTGTGTGCCCAGCAGGGAAGGAGGGCAGGATGGCGTGCTGCAAACTCCATCGGGCTGGGTAAAAAACCTCCCCTCATCGCCCATCCTGGGGGCAGCATCGCTGTGTGTGCCCAGCAGGGCAAAGAGGGGAGGATGGCGTGCTGCAAACTCCACCGGGCTGGGTAAAAAACCTTCCCCTCATCACCCATCCTGGGGGCGGCATCGCTGTGTGTGCCCAGCAGGGAAGGAGGGCAGGATGGCGTGCTGCAAACTCCATCGGGCTGGGTAAAAAACCTTCCCTCATCACCCACCCTGGGCTGCAGCATCGCTGTGTGTGCCCGGCAGGGAAGGAGGGCAGGATGGCGTGCTGCAAACTCCATCGGGCTGGGTAAGAAACCTCCCCCTCATCACCCATCCTGGGGGCGGCATCGCTGTGTGTGCCCAGCAGGGAAGGAGGGGAGGATGGCGTGCTGCAAACTGCATCGGGCTGGGTAAAAAACCTTCCCCTTATCGCCCAGCCTGGGGGCAGCATCGCTGTGTGTGCCCAGCAGGGAAGGAGGGGAGGATGGCGTGCTGCAAACTGCATCGGGCTGGGTAAAAAACCTTCCCTCATCACCCATCCTGGGCTGCAGCATCGCTGTGTGTGCCCAGCAGGGAAGGAGGGCAGGATGGCGTGCTGCAAACTCCATCGGGCTGGGTAAGAAACCTTCCCTCATCACCCATCCTGGGCTAGAGCATCGCTGTGTGTGCCCAGGAGGGAAGGAGGGGAGGATGGCGTGCTGCAAACTCCATCGGGCTGGGTAAGAAACCTTCCCCTCATCACCCATCCTGGGGGCGGCATCGCTGTGTGTGCCCAGCAGGGC